TATTTTATTTATTTATCTGAGCCAAGATGTCACTCTGTAGGCCAGCCCTCAAACTCATAGTGATCCTCCTGCATCAGCTGCCCAAGCGTTGGGGTGATATGCATGAACCACCATGTCCAGCTTTTGAGATGGAATCTCAGTACGTTGCACAGGCTGGCCCTGGGTTACTGATCTGAAGTCACAGTCCTGCTTCTGCCTCCAGGAGCGTGGCCACGCCCAGCTCCTTGGTTTATTTTTTAAACGCTCCATTTCCGAGACCACCATCGGTAGTGAGGCCAGGCTTCTCCATTCACACTAGATTCCCATCTCCACTTTCACCCCGTTTCATAAACCAGATATGTCCGCTTACAGCACCACTGAACAAACGCACCGGCCACAAAGTGATCTGGTCTCAGCGCACGGCGGCGAGCGCTGGTCTTCTTAGCTCTCACTGCCAGCCTGATGCGGACTAGACTTACCTGAGGGAAAAGCTCCATTCAAGAACCGCCTAGGTCAGATTGGCCTGCCAGCATGTCTGTGGGGAATTACTTGCTCACTGGTGATGTAGGAGGGGTGTGAGTGAGCCAGCAAGCAGGTTCCTGCTGGAAGTTCAGGCTGAGTTCCTGACTTTCTTGAGTGCAACCAGAAAGCTGAAATTAACTCCTTCGCTGCCAGGGGGTTTTGTCAAGTACCTTCAATGACATTCGAGGCCCAGGTGGCAAGGTCTCCACGCCTCACCTCAGTCCTAGAACAACACTGTCCACTGTCCTTAGGTGACGAGATGGAAGCCCAGAGATGCAAAGCTGGCAAAAATGCTGTGGCTGGGTCACACTTAGCTCACAGCTGTCCCCACCTGACCCAGGTGCTCCACAGCTGTCTTTCACAAAAGGCTCACCATCGGGAAACAGAGAGGAGTCACGGTAGGGAGGACAGGGCAGCTGGGAAGGGAGCCACATGCTGCAGGGGTAAGGCTGAGGAGAGCAAGTAAGGGCCCAGAGGACAAGCACTGGGCATCTACGTGACTCTGGGGTTCAGCAGCCGCGATGGGATGGGAACAAAGCAGGAAGGTTCGTTGGTGACCACTGAAAAAGCTGGCCAGAGATAAACACAGACTCAAACAAATCTCCCAAAGCCACCCAGCTATCCGAAGCATCCTGAGACAAACTGATGTTCTTTGTGAACAGTGTCATCCAAAAGGGTCACTGGTGTCTTGGGGACAGGGAAGGCGGGAAAAGAAGGGCTGAAGTGGGACTTAACCCTCCCTAGTCCTCCCAGAGTAGCCTGTGACAGGGACCTCTCGGGGACTGGCACACTCTAAGGTGAAGAAGGGTCAGAAGCTTCTGCTCAATAGTACTCCTCTTTTGGTGGGGATGGAGGGAGGGAGAGAGAGAGAGACTTTCTGACAAGAGCAGCAGATACCCAGCTCGACACCCTCCCGTCTAAGCACTAACCAGGCCTGCTTGCTTAGCTTCTGAGATGACACACGACCAGACATGTTCAGGGAGGCATGGCCATGGCCTCTACTCAACATTTCTAATTGAAACAATGAGAGGCACATGTCTTTAACTCCAGCAGAGGCGGGGGATCTTCGTGACTTCAAGGCTAGCTAATATTACATAGTGTATCACCAACAGACAACTTCTGAGAATCAGGGTTCCTGGGAATAGTCAATGCCAGGGGCCTTGGTACGGTGATTTCAACACAAGAAAGCCACTCCCCGACCCACCAAGACGCACTGTGGTCCTTGACGGTGGCTGTTTAACTCACTACATTAACTAACTGAGGAGCTCTGCCGTCTACACTGTAGTCCTGGCAGCACCCTATCCCCACCCCCACCCCCACCCCGGAGCTGGAGTGCTGGCCAGGTGAGCGCTGGCCCTCTGTGGCCATTTGCTCCAAGTCCTTGGACTGTGACTTCCATCAGGATGGACCACACTATCCTGAAGCTGCTTTTGTGAGGTATTTTGTCACAAGAAAAGTAATTGCTAATACAAACCCACAAAAATATAAAACCTCTGAACATAGACATACACAAATCCCAAGACATGTCAGCTACAAACCCCACTAAAGGACCATGCTAAAGGTCAGGGGGGAGACGAGAAATGATTCCAGATTCGAGAAAGAATAATCCCCAAGTCTGCGAAAAAAGAAGGTGGACAGACATGAAAATCTGTATCAAAACCATAAAACAAGAGTATCTGGTTTTAGGGGGGAAAAGTAGGGTCAAGGGACAACACAAGAATATTACAGTATGCAAGATGGGAGAGGCGATGGTTAAAATGAAACCAATCTGTGGTTCTGTATTGTGATTGTGTGGGAGGGGGAAACTGGTTAATTTTAGACTTTAATATTACTTAAAATATTCGGGGCAACCATTGAAAAGAAAATATACCGATTGCAATTAAGATAGAGAGCAGGGCAAAGGGTGAAATCAGTCCAGAGGAGAGAACAGCAAACTCACAAGCATTCACACGGTACCGGTGGCCTCAATTCGTCCTCAAGCCACGCAACGAAGCTTTTTTTCCCTAATTATTTCTTCCAGTCAGAATCTCAACCAGTAGCTCAGTCAGGCCTTGAACTTGGAACCCTCCCGCCTCAGTTTCCTGAGTGTTGGAATGGTAGGAGTGTGCTGATTTACCAGGCAAGATGGATGATAACCGAACCCATACAACACAGAACATTACTTTAAAATATATAAAGTAAAAACACCAACATTGCAAGAAGCCGTTCAAGTCCAAGGAGGGATTAACAGTTTTGGGGAGCTGAGCACTGACCCTAGAGGGGCTCATGCACACCAGAACTACCACTGAGTCATGTTCTCAGCTCGCATCTCTTTCAACAGTCAACACATTGAGCACACAGAATTAGGAAAGGATATACTATAGATGATTTGAGCAGTGCAAAGAACAACCATTTCTTGTGTGGAGGTTCGTGCCTTTAGGCCCAGCATTTGGGAGGCAGAGGCCAAAGCATTTCTGAGAGTTTGAGGCCAGCCTAGTCCATATGGTGAGATCTAGGTTACACAGAGAGACCCTGTCTCAAACACAAGCAAACAAACAAAAACAAGCCCCAAGGTGTAGTGGCATCTTATTCTGCCAACACGCTTGAGGTAATGACTTTGAGTGTGGCTTTGGTGTGTGAACCGGATCCCTTATAAGGGAGAGGAGGGGCCTCATTCAGGCTTTTTCTCTTGGGTTGTGGTCTGACCATCTTGGGTCTGTACCTCCAGGGGCAGAAGACCTGGGGTATTTACCTTCATTATGTGAGTGCTCCCCAAATACATATCTGTTATTCTTTATTCACAAGCCCATGGACTTTCTCTAACCCACCATCACTGAAGTCAACTTTATGTTTTGATCACACAGACAAAACCAAATGCAGTAATAAAAGAACACATATTCTTTCATGGGCGTATAAGATATTTAAGAAAAAATAGATTACATGTAAAATCAAGGATTCCACAAGAGTAGTTCAATACACATATCCAACTCTCAGAAAATCTATAATCAATCTACTTTGTTTAAGAAGAAAGATACCTTAGGTCATCTGTCTGTCTGTCTGTCTGTCTGCACACCCCTCTCTTTTTCCTTCTCTTCCTCCTCCTTACTTTTTGTTTTCTGACAGCCTTTCACTATGTACCTGTGACTGGCCTGGACACTACCTGCCTCTCCTCCCAAGCTCAGAGACCAAGAGTACTTCTTCAAATTCAAAGACAGAGGAGGGCCTGAAAGATGACTCTGAGGTTCCGGGAGGCAGTGTGGGATGACAAAGAAGCAGAATTTCCCGCCTGGGGTCTGTGATGGTCAGCCTTCACTGTCAGTCTGACAAGACTGGGAATCACTATGGACACAGACTCCTGGGTCTATGATATGAGGGCATCCGAGAAGTTTAACTGAGGAAGAAAGACCCACAGTGGATGTGGGTAACAGCACCCCGCAGGCTGGGGTCTCAAAATCAACCTTAGGGTTATGAGTCAGCTCTCTCTGCTTCCCGACCAGACAAGGTAGGCCCAGCAGCCTCCTGCTCCAGCTGCCATGGAAACCCAAACAAACCCACTGGGTGAGCTGCTTCTGTCAGCCATTTTGTCACTGAGGCTTTTCCGGGGCAGTTTCCAATCCAAGAACGATTCCTTTGCCTCTCACACCACAGACTAATCTTCACAGTTCCATCCTATCCCAGAGATTGTTTTTAAGGGTGTACTTGTTTTTATCTGATGTGTGTGTTTGCTTGCATGTATGTGTGTGCAGCATGGGCACATGATATTAAAGGAGGCCCAAAGAAGTTCTAGATTTTCTAGAACCAGAGTTACTCCATGTGGGTGCTGAGAACCTAACCTGGGTTCCAGTGCTCTTAATCGCTGTCATCTCTCCAGTGCCAAATCCAGAGATTGACTTATTCAAATTCCCCTAGAAGACCCCATCACGGTCCCAGAGTCCTTTCTGCCCCCACCCGGCCTTTCAATCACCAACACAGTGTATGTGCACGTGTGCATGTGCTTGTGTGTGCATGTGTGCGCATGCATGGCAAGTCTATGAAGGTCACAAGATACCTTGGTTCAGTTCTCAGGCGCCTTCCACTTTTTGTCCCTAACTGGCCTGGAACTTTCCCCAGAATTCTACACTAGCTCCTGAGCAAGCTCCAGGATCAGCTTGTCTCCAACCCCCAGCTCTCCCATCACTAGGACTAGAAGACCAAACCATTATAGCTGGTTTTTAGCTCGGAGTCAAGGTATTCCAACTAAGTCATCTCTCCAGTCCCAACGTAAGGTGTTTGTTTTTCAGTTTTGTTTTGAGCCGGGCTCTTACTATGTGTAGCCCTGCCTGGACTGGACCTCCCTATGTAGGCCAGGCTGGCCTTGAACTCTGAGATCTGATGGTCTCCCAGGTGCTGGGATTAAGGGTGTGGGGCTGGCCACCCTTTCCCCCAGCACCTCCCATTCTTCCAGCATACCACAAGGGCTGAAAACAGCAGCACAGACAGTTGGTTTAAATGAAGCATCACCTTGAGACAAGCAAGCTCACCTTGACCTCGGTAGCGGATGGCTGCGTTGGGGGCCTGGCTTTGGGGGCTTCTCCTGCGGCTGGCCAGTCATGCTGCTCTCATGCTGCTGGGCAGGTGGAAGCAGAGACCTGGGTCTGAGGGCAAAGGAAAAGGCAGGGTCACTCACTTCTCATCGCTCACCCCTACATCATCCGGCAGAGCTAGAGGAGTCCCAGAAGCCTCCTCCACTCTCCCAAGCCCCGGGGGACCAGTGGGCAGGCACACACCGCAGACCTTTTCCAAGGTGTGCAATGTGTCCAGAGGACCCCAAGGAAGAGGCCACTAAGGTGACTTAGATGAGGTCCCCAGAATAGCAAGAGAGGGTTAGAAGGAGCTGTGGCGCTGTAGGGCAGTACTCCTCAAGCCGTCTGTGGTGCCTCAAGTTCTGCCACGGTGACAAAATACTGGTTTCTTTAGCATCTTTTTGTTTCTCTATGGAACAGTCCTAACTGTCCTGGAACTCACTCTGTAGACCAGGCTGAGATGAAAGCTGTACACCACTACCTGGCTTGTTGCATCTTCAATTCTAAGCAACTGACAAACACTATTCTGATATAGAAGACAAATTAACTGCTAGAGAAATGGAAAGATACTCAAAGACAAAGCTTTTTTCTTCTTCTTATTAATTTAATCTAGCAGATTATTCTTGAGTGGATGTGACCATTCCTAACTGTCAGTTTCTGCATTCCTTCATGGACTGGGGGCAGGGACCGTGTGCTGGTGAGTCCCATTCCTGGAGCACGGCTGGGGAGCACAGCTCGTGGACACCCATGTTCTAAGGTTCACCCAGCCACCCACCTAAGGGAGTCCTGATTCAGAGAAGAGGGAGGGGCTAGACATAAAAAGTAATTTCAAAGTCACCCTCCGAACTACGGAAAGTTGCTTCTGAGGGCCTCTCTCCAGAAGGAGGGACCACAGCACGGACTTTGGCAAAGCGTCTCCAGCTGTCTGCAGATAGGTACCATCGGCCGTTTGCCACGATCAGGAAATGAAATGCAAGTTCATCTGTCCTGAACCTCCCAATGCCACTGTCACCTTCCCAATCTGGGCTCAAGTCGCCTCTCTGAATGAGAACAAGGAGACCTCTGTTAACACTGACAGGAAATGCACCATTTTCAAAATATTAAGAGGGCCACTGGTGTTCATTAAATGCTATAGAAATGAGCAGTCTCTCTCTCGTGTGTGTGTGTGTGTGTGTGTGTGTGTGTCTGCGCGCACACGCGCGCGCGTGTAGACTCGGGACTAACATCTTCATTATCCCTCACCTACTCACTGGACAGGCTTTAGGTGAGCTCAGAGCTGGTCATGGACCAAGTCTCTGTGTTGGGATTACACTCAGGTTGCCCTGCTCACCCAGCATTTATAGCATTTATGTGAGTTCTGGGGATTCAAACTCCCAATCCTTGTGCCTGTGAGGCAAACTCGCTCTTCCCCCACAAATGGAAGGAAAAGACAACAACAAACAAACAACCCGGAGTTCCTGCTGTTCTCACGGAAGAGGCAGCTTCAGATCCCAGCACCTGCACGGCAGTCTGCAGCCATTTGCAACTTAAAATGGACAAATGAGATCTACTTATTAGATCTGTATGTGTGTGCATGTGCACACGCTCACGAGGGATTGAAGGAGTCACAGTGACCGTGGCAGAAGAGGACAGCTTGCAGAAGTTGGTTGTGGGGCCAGACAGTACCTTTATGTGACCAGCCACCTTAATTAAAAAATAAAAGGGTCAGTAAACCCTTTGTTAGTGACAGATTTTATAAAAAAGAAGGGAAGGAGGGACTTCCATGCCTACTGCTTTCTCTTGTAACCGAGGGAGGCGTTCCAAGCCAGTGTCACCATCTGGCTATTCCAGAACAAATGCTAGGAGCTTCAGTATTTCTGGTTTTAAGTGGTTCTTACTTTAAACTTTAGAAGCAGCTAGCCCCGAAGAAGAAAACTTCCCTCTTCAAAGGCTTGTTTTCTTTTAAATGCAAACACTGCCCCCCAACCTAAAGCATCTGCAGTTTTGGAGTTGGCTGCTCACAAAATTCTATCAAGAGTCTGGTCGTAAACATTCCTAAGACAACGGAAGTTTTTTGAAGGATGTCTGTACCGTTCCAGAGATGGTACATCATTTACTCTGAACAACGGCGAAGAAGAGGCTCTGCGGGAGAAGCGTTTGTGTACAAAAAGTTAATACAGCTATTGGCATCTGAACAGCAGACCTTATGGCGAGCCAAGAGATGGCAGAGTGCAAAGCGGGGAAAGGTTCGGTTCTGGGGAGCTGAGGAGTCAGTTCACAGCCCCATCCTGAGGCTCCCTGTGGACCAGGAGTCCTTGGAAGGGCTTGTCAAGTAAGCCTTGAGCCCAGGCCAGCAGCTCCAAATGTCATCTACTGTACTTCAGGCTTGGGTGCTCCTCTAGCTCCCTAATGAGGCCTGAGAGAGACAAACAGTTAGCTATGAGCTGCAGAGACTCAATAAATGCCTGCTGCACAGGAGTCTCTGGCATCTGCACATACATGTACACATGTGCACACACCCACACTAACAAGTACATATCCCACATACAGAACAACACACACACCCCACATACAGAACAACATTCCTCCTCCATTTATAAAAATTTCCAAGACCAGATAACTACAATTGCCCTTTCTTACTAAGATGAAATTATTGGCTGGAATTAAGGGAAGGAAAATTAAATTAACTAATGCAATTCACTCGAGCATCCATTCACTCATCCAGTCTTACCAGTATCTGCTGTGCAGTAACGAGAGGCGGGCAGCAAACACAGGAGTCACATGAGACACTCTGCCCTGACTTGAGGGGACATACAGTCTGGTGTCAACTAATTAGGAATTAGAAACAACTGTGATGCTGGTGGCCGCTGCAGTCCCAGACCAGCACAAAGAAGAAAGGGTACAGAGAAGCAGTGATGCAGTGTGCCGCTGTGGCTGGCCTGTGCAAAGGTCCTGTGGCGGGAAGGAGCCCAGCTTTCTTCCCTATATGTTCTAGTGCCTGTATCAGTCAAGATAGGCTTTCAAGCTGTGCAACATTTGTCATTTGTTTTTAATTAGTTCCACCAGGCTACCTGGAAGAAACCAGGAGCTGTATATGCATCTCTGCTAACTCCTTCCTCTTCCTAAACTGGCAGGAAGTATCTAAAATGGGGGCCACTTGATGACCTGGGTATGCTATTACTATTCTTTTATAACACTGTATCTTGCTTAGCTTCAATTTGGCCAATGTTAAAATTAGCCGGGCAGCGCTAATGTAAGACGGGTGTGTAGGCCTGGTGTTTCTGGAAGTGTCCATTATTAAACGTACTCCTGGGCCTGGTGTAGCTCAGGGGTAATCACCTCAAGTACACAAAGACCCTAGTTTCAGTCCTCAGGAAAGCAAACAACTTAGGGCTGCAGGAGCCATGTGTGGCTGTAAGAAAGGGCACCCAACTCATGTAGAGACCAGGAGGGGTGGGGCTAAGAAGACCTGCCCCCAGGGGCCCTGCCCCTCACTGGCCACACTGCCTTGTTCCTGTCCTAGAGAGAGAAGTCCCACCCACAGGCACTGAGCATGTGTGCTGCTCCCAACAGGCCCTGGCAAAGGGGCAGCCATTACTGTGGAGACAGTAATGTGAAAATCGAAAGGAATCCATAAAGATTGCCCAGTTAGGCCGTGGACCGCTGTGCAAGGCTGGAGGTCGGTCACTGTAACTGACTGACAGCCCCAACAACTCATAGCTTCTTGGTCAGTCTTCAAGGATTCACAGCTACCTTACTGGATCCCAGAGTGACTGGGGACTCCACCCAGGGCCTCAGGGCTGGGACCCGGGCACTAGGTCTACCCGTCGCTAATGATTAGGGGTCCAGGAGGCAGGCACGGTGATGAGGCTTCTACCTGACAGGGGGAGATGGTGTGGTGTGGCACGTGACTGTCCCACAGTGATGGGGGGCAAAGGAAAGGATCCCCAGGGCACACTGGGCACCCAGTCCAGCCCTCAGCCCAGGCCCAGACGGTGAGAGGCCCAGTCTCAGGGCAAACAGATAAAAAATACAACAACCAACACAACAAATAAGACGGGTGGGACACTTGAGGCTGTCCTCTGGCCTCCACACACACAATCTCACACACCCCCGAATCACTACTGAAGTCACTAGGACACAGACATGGAGACCGAGCCCTCGGGATTTGCCCAAGTCCACAAAACTGAATGAGTCCAGGCATGAGGCCGCGCCCTTCCTCTCGGCCACAATGCCCATCCCTCCTCAGGGACCATCAAGGAAAACTCAGGAAGGAGCCATGCCTTCCCAGGCCACCAGCAAGGCCAGGTCCACTGTACCTTCTTCCTGTGAGCCTCCGTTTCTCCCCCACACTAGGAAGGTCAGAAATGTTGGTCCACACACCACATAGGTTTTGGAATGGGGAATGAAGATTAAGGTTAAAAAAATTAGTTATTGCACTGATGTATGTGTGTGTCTCTGTATGTGTCTGTGTAGGTGTGTGTGTGTCTGTGTATCTGTGCATGTGTGAGAGATGACAATTCTGCAAAGGTCAGAGGTCAGAGGACCACTTTTGAGAACTGGTTCTCTCCTTCCACAACATGGGTCCTGGGCATTGAGCTCAGGTTGTCGGGCTTGGTGACAAGTGCACTCAGCTGTTGAACCATCTTGCCTGCCCCAAGACTGAGTCTTGAGAGACATATATTCAGACGTGAACACTTTAAAATAATTGCCTGGAAGCCTAAGTAAAGGGCTGTTCCCTTCAGTCAGATGGCAGCGGGAATGGAGGGGACAGACTGGGGTGGGGGTCTGCCAGGGATGGGAGCGCAGAGCACAGGATATAGCCTACTGGACTTCCCAGACCGGAAGCTGGACCAAATGAAGTGTGAAAATTCCCTCCTTGCCACCCACAGTAAGTTAGATGAGGGAGGGGAGGGGAGGAGAGCAGGGAGGAGGAGGGATGCAGTGTGAACCAGCTTCGAATCCTCCAGAAAATTAACACAGTCGCCATCAATTAAGTCCGGAGTCAGGCACCCATGCAGCCTGTAACATGCCAGCAGCAGTACCAAGCCACCAACTCCGAGAAATCAAGACTCCAGGTTCTCTGATTGTGA